TCTTTCCCTTGTAGAGAATGAAGAGTATTAGAACAGACTGATAGGTGGCTTTTTTATTGCATTTCCATGTAGGTTTATTGGAACTCCTTTGCTCTTTGCATGCCCAAAAGAATTAAGTAAATAGAGCAGCAGGAAAGTGACATGTATGCATATATCTGAAATGAAACAGATACACGCTTCCAGGTCCTTTTGGGGCTTTTTCCAACAAATGCAGTATGTGTGTTGCAGCTTATTGTTAAGTATCTAAGAATTTCCAGGATAAAAATCCATGGTTTAAAACAGTGTCAATACTTCAGAAGAAAAATTACTAAAAGCTTTGTCATGTCAAGGATGACTTTTGTGCATTTAATGATATCCTTTAAACACAGGATTTCCTCTCCTTCCCCCTTAACCTTGATATAAGGTCTGACTCCCTAAGATCTTGGTAATATATATATGCTTTGCAACTCTTATTTGAAGAACCATTTCTTCTCTGGCTGCTCTTTTTTACAACTGAGAATAAAGTTTATCTTAAGGCTGTTATATGGGTAGTGGGGTCACCTGTGAAGGGAAACTAATGTCACTCTTTTCCATTACTATTGTAGGCATGTGCAATAAGGGGGTCTCAGCCTGTCTTGAGAAAAGATTCTTTTTTCACAGTTCACTTGAATTCTAGCGACCCAAGAAATACAAATGACACAAGGCTTCAGCTGAGCCTGTGGATTTAGATCTGAACATTGTTTGGCAGGATGCTAGCAAGTCCTGTGTATTGATGAAATGGGTTCTTTAAGTTCCCCTAACTACTTTAAAAACAGCAAATCTTAACTTGAGCCACCATGGGTCCTTGCTCCAGAAGGCAAGACTTTGAGCTAAAACTGCTTGCTGCCATGTCTCACCTCTCATTTCCTTACTTCTGGGGGACATGCCAACCTTAAATTGGTTGGCCAAGTCTTGATTTTAGTTTTCTTTTTCTTTTAAATTTCATTTTTAAACGTTTTATTTATAAATGAATCCAACTTACCAAATAACAAATTTAATGTTTAAAGACATTAATCCAAAAATCTAATCCCCTAACACATATATGTAGACCTCTAGCATCAGTGCTTCCTTAACTCAAGTCCATGTCCACAGGCTTCTCTTCCTTTCAGTCTCTGACAGTTTTTGCTTCAGTTTATGTTAAGCTTTTGTGTTACTTGACATCGATATAATAATTCTCTTCTCACCTCCTTTTCCTTAGAACTCTGCATAATATAAATCTCACTCTTTTCTATTAATCTTTTTTTAAATTTAAAATTTATTTCAAATTTGTTCTTGAATCTAAATTCCTAGAACTTATGCTTTCTTTCAGTATCCAAAAAAGGTTTTCAAACTTGGAGTTTAGGAGTTCTTACTTTTCATAGTTAACTTTATATTCTGAAACTTTGCCATATTTTATTTCTTTTTGTGGTTCTGGTAGTATGGTAATTGGTTTTTATAATGAATAACATTTGTTTTTTAGTTTTGATTTAGTAAATTATTAATTGTATGTATAAGATACATATAAGATGGATTGCAGATTGGCTGAAGAGTCACACTCAGAGGGTGGTGGTGGATGGATCATACTCGACTTGGGGGGAGGTGGGTAGTGGAGTCCCCCAGGGCTCGGTCCTGGGGCCTGCGCTGTTCAATTTCTTCATCAGCGATCTTGATGCTGGGGTGGAAAGCAACCTGTTTAAATTCGCTGATGACACCAAAATTTGGGGGGAGGTGAGCACGCTAGCAGGGAGAGAGAGATTGCAGAAGGATCTGGATAGGTTACAGGGGTGGGCAAATAGGAACAGGATGTGTTTCAATACGGACAAGTGCAGGGTGCTGCACTTGGGTAGTAGGAACCAGCAGCACACCTATACGATGGGGAACTCCCTACTTGAGAGCACGGAGGCGGAAAGGGATCTTGGTGTCATTATTGACTCCAAGATGAACATGGGCCGACAATGCGAGGTCATGGTTGGCAGGGCTAACCGGACCTTGTCGTGCATCCACAGGTGCATCTCGAGTAGAGCCAGGGAGGTGATCCTCCCCCTCTATGCGACGCTGGTCAGGCCGCAGCTGGAGTATTGTGTCCAGTTCTGTGTGCCCCATTTCAGGAGGGATGTGGACAACATGGAGAAGGTCCAGAGGAGGGCCACCCGCATGATCCGGGGACAACAGGGCAGACCCTACAGTGAGAGACTGCAGGACCTGAACCTATTCAGCCTCCACAAGAGAAGGCTGAGGGGGGACCTGGTGACCGTCTATAAACTCACTAGGGGGAACCAGAAGGGTTTGGGGGAGACGCTGTTTCCCCTAGCCCCCGCTGGCATAACAAGGAGTAATGGGCACAAATTGATGGAGAGGAGGTACAGATTGGACATCCGAAAAAACTACTTCACAGTTAGGGCGGCTAGGAGCTGGAACCAACTTCCAAGGGAGGTGGTGCTGGCCCCTACCCTGGGGATCTTTAAGAAGAGGCTGGATACCTACCTGGCTGGACTCATTTGAGTCCCGTTTTTTGTTTAGGGTTCTTTTGTTGTTCTCCCGCCCTGGTGGGGGGTCGGGCTAGAAGATCTATTAGGTCCCTTCCGACCCTAAAACTATGAAACTATAAGATTTATTCATCTTTGTCACTTCTGTAAAGAAAGGCCAAAGTTGTTAGAAATGGTAGACAAAATGCAGCTACAATAGTGAAAAACCATCATAAAAAGCATTTTTGTAAGGTGACCAGTAGGGGTGCACCAGTATATCAGTTGGCTATTGGATTAGCACCGATAAAAGGAGAAATGATGTTATCGACTTTTTGGGCCTTTTTGGGTATCCAATAATTATGGGTGTGTGCCCAGAGCACCCTGGTGGCATATTCCAGTCCCCACGCCTCGCCGCTGGCCTTAGCCTGCAGCAGACTACAGGTGCAGGCGAACAGTGGAAGGGCGAGGGAGTGCTGGGGAGCAGTCACAGTGTGCTGTGCTCAGCAACCAAGGAACCATTACCAGCTGCTGCTGCCACTGCCAAGGCAACACCTTGCATGGAGCTGGGGCCCGAGTGCTGGGGCTGCCACAGATGGGCTGCGTGTGGGTGGGGTAAGGCGACACGCGAGGGACATTCTGTTCTGCCGGGCACCAGGCACCTTTGCAAAAGTGGCTTCTGTCTGGTGGCTGCAGGAGCTCGGCTGCATGGGGCTTGCTGGTGCTGAGGCAGCAGCGTGCTCTGGGGCTCCAAATGTGCTTGGCATCGCTGTCTGCATGAGGGTCTGCCCTGCCCCGCCTGCCCGGGATGGCAGCACAGGCTACGCAGGGAGTGGGGCTGCAGGTAGTAGCCATGGATGAGGGGGCATGGGAATAAGGATGTCACCGCCTTCATCGAGGGTTCAGAGCAGACAGGAGGGATGTGTGTGTGTTTCTGATAAATGCCAAACAAACAAAAAAGAAAAGGTTTATGTCAGTAGTTTAAAATGCCTTTGCACTCTTACTAAATATTGGTTATCCAGCTGGCATCAGGAGATACGATTGGTTAATCATTGGCTATTGGTATTGGCTAAGGCAAATCTTTTCGGTGCACCCCTAGTGACCACAAGATATATATGCCATGTGTTAAGAAAAAACGTGTTTGCTGTATCTTTTTAAGTTGAGGGATTCTTATTCACAGATAAGTTTTCCATGTAGAATAATCCATCTATATTTATTCTTTAGACAGATGATGTAGGATGGCCACAGATGCACTGTGAATGTTGAGATCTGTTTTACAGCTAGCTTAAAGAAAGGTCATCTTGACAGAGCTCTCCAGCTAGTCACTGGGAAAACTCATTTGATGCTCTTCTTGCAACTTGTTTCCCTCAAGGCATTACAATTTCTGAAATCTGGAAGTGTCTTTCCTATCATGGTAGGGGTTTTTCCCCCCTGAAACCTAAGCTGCATTCTTAGGTTTTATTATAATCTATTCTTTAATACTATGCCAAGAGAGAATAATCAAGGACAAACACTGATTGGAGACTTAAGTTTTGAGTGTTGGCCCAGAGCTTGCTTGCTTGCTTCCAAGTTGCTTTTGGTTTCTCTGGGAGATTGACTTCCAGGTACTGGGAAGCAGTTTAGGGGAGTTACCAAGATGCAGCTGGTCTTCTGAAGTTTAAAAATCAATCTTCAGATCTTTCTTCACATCCTGTTTCTCTATAATTTAAATGCTTGGATTATTTTACTCTGCCCGGCATTCTTAATATCTGACCACTGTCCAGTCTTTTGCCATTCCAAATTGGTGTCTTTTTTCCTTTTTCTTCTACCCACCCTGGGAAACCTGCCTCCCTTTGGTCTTATACAATAGTTCTTAGACTGCACACATTCCTATTCTGCACAGCACAAAACCCCCATTAAAACTGTTTCTGTTGGGATTTAAATGTCTTTCCTTTTTTGCTTTCTCTGTCCCCTCCGCCCCCTTTCCTTTGATTCAGCTGAAGAGTATTTTGACATCTCCACAGTCTAATAATATCTGCCTTTTGTTTCAGTTTCAAGATGGCAGAGAAGCATATGAAGAAATCTAAAAGGGTGTTATATGGTGTGCATTGCAGATATGAGTGTGCCCTCAGTAATACTTGTTTATATTATAGATATAGCCTCCAATTCGGCAAAAAATGTAGGTTTCTGTCAGTGTTTGGACAGGAGTGGACTCTAAAGAGGAACTAGGAGAGAAATCGGTTTGTTCAAGATGGACTTAAACACTTCTTTATAGCGTAGTAGAACAGTGTCTTAAAGTGAGCAAAATGAGTCTTGGAAAACTTCTTTAGCTGTTGAAAAGTGTTGATGATTCCATCGGCTCATTGATTGTTTATTTTTGAGTTTTTCTCCTCCCCACATAGCTCTGTATTTATCTTCATTTTTTCCCTTTCCTTTTCTCTTGCTATTGTGAACCTTTTTTCTCACAAGTCCAAAAGAGAAGTACTAGCAAATGTAAGGGGCCAGAAAGTAGTCTGAGCTATAGCTGTCTCTCAGAGTCTGAGTAGAACTTAATTAATAACTAATAATGGAGACTGTTGTACAAGTAGCAGTAACTACCAGCTTTTTTTTAACACAATGTTTCATATAGGATAAAGCAAGGAATTTGAGAGTCAGATCAAGATGGTATCAATTCTTGACAATAAAATAGTTTCTTTTTGATTTTTAAGACAAGCTGTCGCACACCTAGATAATGTATAGACTGACATAATTTAGCAGGCACAAATAAGTAACTCTCACTTTTTTTTGTTGTTTACTTTGACAGTATTGAAGCTGCAGTGGCTACTTTTGCACAAGCCAGACCACCAGGTATCTATAAAGGTGACTATTTGAAAGAACTGTTCCGCCGTTATGGAGATGTAGAGGACGCACCACCACCACCTGAACGACCTGAATGGTGCTTTGAAGATGAGGATGAGGACGACGAAGAGGAGGATGATGGTAAATCAGGCGGTCAGGAATCAGAACCTGGATCATCAAGTTCTTTTAGCAAAAGGAGAAAAGAACGCCTAAAACTGGTAAAAAAAATTTTGTGAAAACTTAGCATTTTACTTGCTGAATTAAATTTGGTCACGCCTTACTTGGCATCTGGTACATTCTATGCACCATCATACCAGCATGCTTGTAAGGAAGGGACTTGTTTAGGGCCAGCATTAACATGAGTGAAATTTTAGCATTTTGTATACTCACTTTGATCTTAAGTTATAATACCTCTTCTGGCTATTTGTGTAGACTTAAGAATAGGTTAGAAAAACACTTTTTAATAGGATAGTTTAAATAGGGATGATCCTGCCTTGAGCAGAGGGTTGAACTAGTTGACATTCTGTAGTCCCTTCCAGCCTTACTTTTCTATGATTCTAAGTGTTTCTGAACCAGAGATTCAGTCAGACAAAATTATAATATTTTTGCTTGATACATTTTGTGATGTGAATGAATGTTTTGTAGAGATTACATTGAGACCATTAAACTCTTATTCAAGTCTTCAGAAATGCAACTGCTGATCAATAGACATTAATGCTTTTATTGATTTTTGTCGTCAGCCTAGCCATGCTGTGGAAACTCGATTTTTCTTTTCAAAATTAGTGTTTAGTTTTCAAAAAAATATTCTTTATTTAAGAAATAATTAGTAAAGGTCTTGAGCAGTGCTTTGACCACAGTAACATGAATTAAAAAAAGGTATAACTTTATAAGCTGGGAGCAGCTGTCTGGGGAGAAGATGTGGGGAAGAGGTCACAGTAATAAGTCATACTTTTTTTATTTTTCAAAGAAATGTGGTTGATCCATTATTGTGACTAGTTCTGATATTAGATTGGCATTACTATTAATGTACTAGGTTTTTAAACAGGAATGTCATTTCTGTATCATGCTATAAAGTAGGGAAAATAGTTTTGTTGTCCTAAAAATAAGGGTTTTATTGTTGCTGAACACTGATCCTCATCAATTGTTTTTGCCATAAAGTAAGTGAAAACAAAACTACTGGATGTATAAATGTATGCAGCTGCACCTGTGTGGTGGGTATTCAAAGAGGCTTGAATGTTTGTAAGCAGTCTGAGATCCCTGCAAGAAATGTGTTGCAAAAATGTTGTTGTTACTAGTGTTGTCCATGTAGGAAAGAGGAGAAGATGGGTCCAAAAGAATATAGAATTTTGTAAATTTAGTCAATCAACTGGTGTGGCAAAAGCAGCTTAAATGCAAAAAATTAATGCATAGTCAAAATGTTAGTTATCTCCAGTCCTCTTCCACTGAGCCTTAAAGATGTGCAAGAGAATTTTCTTTTTGGAATACAATGGCAAGGCTATGTTCTGCATTGCCTGTGAATTGGTCAGTTTACTAAATTGGGTGTGCAGGAAGAGGTCTCTGAAGCTACAGTCAGATGATATCCTTCCTTACTCCAACTCAGACCTCATCAGATTTGTCAAACAAGGATTGTGATCTAGAAACCCTGGCTTTTCCATTTTTGCTAACTAGTTCTTTCAAAGCTGGAAAGCTAAATTATATGAATAAGCATACTAAAAAAATAAAACACAATTGAACTTAGATTTTCACAAAGGGAAGACTCATTTGGTTAATATGCGTATTCGTACAATTCAGTTTTACAGCTTTGGATACATGATGAGGAAGAGCTGGGAAATTCTGTGCCATGATTCTTGGTTGACAGATTGGATTGCTTCTGAAGCTGAGTAGAGAAGGATTCAGCATGTTTGTTATTGATTATAGTAATGTAATATAGCAAGAAAGTGATTATCAGGTAATTAACTCTTGCTTATATGTCAGATATTCTTTATCATGGGGTGTTGTCTAGAATGCTGATTTTTTAAAAGCAGAGCTCATATCTCATACCATGATCATCACATAATTATTGTTTTTTAAAGTTTTGAGATTTTTAAACTCAATACAAAAATAGGTAATATTAATTAAATTATAAGTCAACCTGAACTATGTCGCAAAATGTAAGCAAAAAAAGAAGAAGGAAGAGGGAGGGATAAAAGAAGGGATATGTGCTATGAGCAATGCTGTAGCTACTAAAACTTGCCAAGAATTCCTTCCAAATTGCACTAAACTTTTTGAAGCAGTTTAAATCTGCTAAATGTAACTCCTTAAATGCCAGTTATGCCATCTCATTATACAAGACTTTGACCTTTTGGCGATGTCCTGCTTTTCCAATGCAGCAATATAATCCTGCATGTTACTAATAAGGCCAACTGTAAGAATACAATTTGGGAAGGATTCCATTTGAATTACTTAGGGATATAGCCAGGCTCTCACACGTTTGTTAAAGGTCTCAGTGCCTTCTTCAAAACCATGTTAACTTTAGCTATAATTTATTTTGAAAAAGAATTGATGATAAGGCGTGACCAAGAGTTGCCTGCAGCGCATCAAATCCCTAACATGTATCTACTGACAATATCTTTAATTTTTTAATTTGAGGGAAATCAGCGCAAATTTAAAAAAAAAAAAAAAAGGCCCAACAAACTCTTGTTGTATGAGACAAAGTCTTAAGATTACTTGATGTTAAGATTACTTGATGTGATTTGCTGATTTCCACTAGGATTCTGTCTTCTGAGTACCTATGTCTCTATTCCACTTCAGTTTTAAATAGTTTGTATCTGGTCTATTATATAACATTGTATATAGTCAGAGAGTGATGGCAGAGAATGGGGAAGAGATGCAGAGCGTTTGGAATATTTGCTATATCTAAAACTTTGGGTCCACACTGATTTTTTTTTTTTTTTTAATACTTGATACAACTGCATATATTGCCATTCAACTGTCTTTGGAAGGTCAGAATCATCACATAACTTGGTAAAGGATTGAATATGGTTCCCAACTAGAAACTGTTCTACATGCACAATACCCTTATCCATCCATCTACTTTCTCCACGTCTGTTGTGGGACCCGTACTTCATAAAGGAATGCCTCAGATAAAGGCCTTCCAATATAACAAAGGATGAAACTTCACTAAGTTTGCCCAGTTTTTCCAAACTTGTCAAACTGCAAAAACATAGACCTTGGAGAAGTAGATAGACAATGATAAGTAGAATTTAGGGTGGTTGATAATTAGGTACCTACTGAACTTGTGATTTCATGGATTTAACTCAATCCAGGCAATGCTTGTGAAATCCATTTGGCGGGATAGGGGGAACCCTCCAAAACAAACAGAGAAGAAAAAAAAAAACCTACCAAGCTCTGCAGCAACTTGCCAGGGGGGAGGGGCTCCCCACTTGAAGGGCTACCTACAAAATGGCTGTTGCCCCTCGCCACTGATTGGCTGTGCTGGCTGCCTGTCATTTGACTGTGCCCCCCTCCACCAGTTGGTAGCGAGGGGTATGGCTGCATGATGGACAGCCCTTGTAGCCAATCAGTGGCGATTGCTGTGGCCATATGACAGAGAGGCCTTGTAAGCGATTCAGTGGCGAGGGGTGGGGCCCCTGGAGCACTTTTGGCTTATCACAGGCATGGGGGCTGGTCTCACCACACTTGGCCTGTGAAATGGCTTCCTGAGCCTATGTTCTGCCCGCAAAATCAGGGGGCAGCCCCAGTGAATGGAAGGTCTTCTGGTTGATAAATGATCAGAGGGCAGGCACTAATCCAGGGGCAGGCAATTATTTTGGGTGGAGGGCCGCTTAATGAGTTTTGGTTGAGCAGTCAAGGGCTGCATGGGTAGCCCTGCCCCTTTCCAGTTTCCCCACCCCAGGTTACCATTTTGGGACTAGAAGTCCCACCCCTAACCCCTTGCCCCCTGGAAATCCTCATTTTGGGAGTGGGGAGAGGGGTTGCCGTCTTAGAACCAGAAGGAAAAACAAAAACAAATCATACGCTAAAAGTCAAACACCTACTATATCATGTTTTAATTTTATTACAAAAATATGTTTGTCATTTTTTGTGTTTGCATACTGTATATAGAAGTGATTGCATAATAACTCGAGAATAAATTCTTAGTCTTGTATATTGTGGGTAGGTGTGGTGGGGTGTGCGTATGGTGGGGACTGCGGGGGTGGCAGTTTGTGAGAGGGTGTGGCTGTGTGTGTGAGAAGCATGGGGTATGTGGGGGCAGAGTGTGGGTGTGAGGGGTGGGAGGGTGTGGGACCCCCCCACACTCCCCTCATAGCAGCAGGCGGGGGCACTCAGGGTGCTTGTGCCCGGCGGGGTGCAGCTTCAGCCAGTGCTGCACATTGCAGTGAGGGGTGCTGCCTCTGCTGGGCAGTACTGCCAGTGCTCCCCACACTTCCTGGGCATGGGAGGGAAGCCCCAGGTACTGGAGCCAGCTGCCTTCTCCACCCCCCCAGGGAAAGGCACCTGGGGCTTCCCTCCAATGCCACGCAGCCCTGATGGGAAAGCCAGCCGAGGCAGCACCCCTCACTGCAATGTGCAGCACTGGCTGAAGCTGCACCCCGCCGGGCACAAGCACCCTGAGTGCCCCCGCCTGCTGCTATGAGGGGAGTGTGGCGCCCCTGCCTGCTGCTGCTGCCAGTACCTGCAGCAGCTGCGTGCCATAAGGGGAGTGTGCGTGTCGGCAGTCATTTCACCCCCTGACCTCCCTTCCTTACATCGACACACTGCCCACACAAGCTCCGTGCTGCCGCTGCCCCCCTGGGTGCAGACTCTGTGCTGCTGCCAGCCCCACAGTCCACGCTCCTTCCTAGCTGCAGCTTTGTTCCCACTGCTTCCCTACCTGCTGCCCAGAGTGACCTGGAGTCAGGGGAAGCCGAACAAGTTCTCGGTGGCTGTGGCAGCAGCAGCCTTCTCAGAAGGTATGTGCTGGCCAGGCTCAGCCCTTCCGCCCATGAGGATGAGAGCAAGGCGCAATAGAGTATGTTGGTGGGGAGGGGGAGTTGTACACATGGATGCCTTGCTCCCACCCTCATGGACAGAAGTACTGGGCAGAGCACAATTTGTTGGTGGGTGCTGCAGGTCAGATGAGAGTGCTTGGCGGGCTACATCCAGCCCACGGGCCGTATTTTGCCCACCCCTAAACTAATCTCTCAGGCTGTGACAGAAGTATTAGTGCATCATCTGC